CCCCGGATTTTTTTATGAAGTCCCCAGTTTCCAGGGACGCAGAAAAAAGGTTTCTCATGGATACAGCCGTAGCACATCTACTAGAGATCCGGGCCATACAACCCGTCCCTTCTAATCAAAATGGTCTTGGTTTTTATTCGCACCTCTTCGTGGTCCCTAAAAGTTCAGGGAGGTGGAAGGCAATCCTGGACTTAAAACGTCTAAACCAATATTTAGTTTACCGAAAATTTAAAATGACCACTCTCCAATCCATCTTACTCAGCATCAGAAAAAATGATGTCCTTACCTCCATAGACCTCACGGAAGCTTACTTAAATATCCCAATTAGGCCCTCACATTTCAAATTCCTTCGTTTCTGTTACAACAATGTCCATTACGAATATATTGCTCTCCCATTTGGCCTAGCTTCAGCTCCCAGAACTTTTACAAAGGTCTTGGCTGCCTTGGCAGCATCACTCAGAGATAGGTCCATCTGACTTCAATGCTACTTGGATGACATTCTTATTCTGGCATCTTCCATCAATCAAGCAAATTCAAACACTCAAACTACACTTGTAACCCTACAACAACATGGGTTCTCAATCAATTGGTCAAAAAGTCATTTAACACCCTCTACTAGACTCATTCACCTTGGCGCCATCATTGACACCCTGGAAGGCAAAGTTTTCCTCTCCCCTGACAGACAAGAAAGCATTAGAGATTTGGCTCAGCAGATCAGAACTCTTAGGAAAGTACAACTATGTCTCCTTTCTAAATTGCTCGGAAAAATTATTTCTTGTATTTCTATTATCCCTTGGGCCCGGTTCCATGCAAGAACCCTGCAATGGTTCCTGTTGCTATACCAACGCTCCGGGAGAGACGATGCCAGGACTTGCATAAAAGTACCATCAACCGTTCTCAGATCTCTACGATGGTGGACATGACACGAAATCAACAAGGGATGCCCTTTCAAGGATCCACACAGGTCGATTGTTACAACAGACTCCAGTCTAGTGGGATGGGGGGTCCACTTCCAATCACATACAGCGCAAGGCCTTTGGACGGATTCAGAGAAGGCACACAATATCAACTGACTAGAACTGAGAGCGGTGTACTTGGCACTTCGACAATTCCTCCCGCATCTCTATTGCAAACATGTGCTCTTCTTAACAGACAGCATAACTACAAAAGCCCATATCAACAAACAAGGGGGCACTCATTCCAATCTACTAATGAGGGAAGCAGAAAGACTATTCCTGTGGGCCGAAATCCATCTTCTCTCTCTAAAGGCGGAGCACATATCTGGAGTAGCGAATGTACAAGGGGATTGGCTCAGCAGAGCCACGATAGACCAATCAGAGTGGCGTCTGGACCCCAAGATCTTTCTGGAGGCTACTTGGAGGTTGGGCCAACCGGTAGTCGACCTGTTTGCCTCCCCACTCAATGCACAGCTTCCCCTATTCTCGTTACCTACCGGACTGCTATACGCCTTTCCTCTCCTCCCCGTGATCCCCAAATTGATTCAGAAGTTGCTGGAAGAAAAAGCGGACCTGCTATTAGTGGCTCCTTATTGGCCAAGGCGAGCATGGTTCGCGGACCTGAAGGACCTCTCAACGGTACCACCGTGGAGGATCCCTTCATTGGTCATATCGCTGTCTCAAGGCCCAGTGCTACACCCGGACCCCCAATGGCTAAACTTAGCCGTATGGAAGTTGAAGGGCGATGTCTGAGAGATGAACACCTTTCTACTCAAGTTATTCACACTATTCAGTCGGCTCGACGTCCTTCGACGAACTGAATCTATTAGGCCACCTGGTTTAGCTTCTGCCGTTGGCAGCAGCATGGGTGACCCAAGTTACAATAGAGAAGATTTGCCGAGCTGCAACCTGGGCTTCTCCATCTACATTTATTAGAAATTATAAAATTGACATATTTGCTTCTGCTGAGGCTTCATTTGGTAGGTGAGTTTTGCAGCAAGTTATTCAGAGACAGTTAGGTCTGAAACCCAGATGGAGTCCCTCCCTTAGGACAGTGCCAAGCTTTGGTATGTCCCATCACTGGATGCTCTGAACAGCTCATGGGAGAAAGGGCGTTGGTACTTACCTGATACGCCCGTTCTCTGTGAGCTGTGAAGAGCATCCAGCCCCTCCCTTTTATTCCGTCTGGTAGGGGGTCTATTCCGGCCAGGGTTATTACATAGGCTTAAGCATATAGGGTATCAATACCTTGGCTTCGCAAAACTGGGGACGCTAAGGAGGAGTCTCCTCAGGTTTAAGCCCAGCCTTCCTAGAAGGGACTGAAGCACCTTCCCATCACTGGATGCTCTTCACAGCTCACAGAGAACGGGCGTATCAGGTAAGTACCAATGCCCTTTTTACTTACTTTGTCTTCTCTCTCCTTTTATTCCAAGACTGTATTCTGTATTACCAAGATACATTACTTTTTAAAAATCTTCTTCCTAGCATATTCCCACAGGTCCAGGGTTCTGCTTTTCGGATCATTGAATGCCACTTCGTTACTTTTTTAAAATATGCTTAACATATCTTTTCTTAACTAGAACATAGGCTGGGCTGGCGACTAAAACAGTGGCATAGGGAAAATTAAGGAAGGTTAACCCGTTCTTCCATGCTTTAATTCTTCTGTTCCCCACCTACAGCCACTGTTTACTCTTGGCATTTCTATTTTCTGCTGTGTGGTTCTCTTTCTGATTGGCACATCTTTGAATGAAATGTTCAGTCTCCAACTGCTCTGGCAGCTGGTGTTGGTTAACCAAAACTGTATCATATTTAAGATGTAAAAAGTAACATACTGTTGAGATAGAAAATCCTTTCGTCCTTTGTTTTTCAGCCTCTGTAAGAGCCAAAGTTGGTTTTTCTGTCACACAACCTCATGTTTCCCAGTTCCTCACATGTTCTTCATTTCTGGCTTGTCTGACTCTTCCCTCTCCTTTACTAGACATCTGTTAGGTCAACAGCTTCTAGTTTCTTCTGCTCTGTCTGCATGTGCCTGACTTTTGACTGATTGAAACCCTCCCTTCTGTACTAAAACAGGTATTTCATCGTTGGTGTGTCTTTTGATTTCCAATGTTTGTCTTGTCTCTCTGTGGTTCCTTTGAGAGGCATAATGCTTGTCTGCTTGTAGGCTCCCTTACCTGTCCCCTGTGATGAACCTCTTCCTGTTTTCTTTTGCTATATCTCCTTCTCACTGATTCTCAGCACTTCACATCCTTTATTTCTTCATTTCATTTTATTCTTTAGGTCTTTCTGGCTTATTTGAGACTGGGCTCCATCATGCCAGCAGTGCCACCCCTGATGCCTCTGTCATGAACCTCATCTCAGCTCTGGAGTCACGGGCACCACAACCAGGCCCTTCTGCTTCCTCCCTGCTGTCCCAGTTCCGCACCCCATCCTGGCAAACAGGTAATACCTCTGGAGTTCTGCCAGCATCACAGAAGGAAGAGTGAACGTCTTAATTTGATGGCAGGGTTGGGCAAACTTTTATAGGAAGCCTTATTCTATATTTTTATGGCAAAGATCTGGCATGTATGTGTAATGTGTTTGGGCAGGAGTAGCCTATCTTCCTGGGAAATAACACTTTATTGATACTTCTGTCAAGTTATTTTATACATCACTTAGAGTCTATTGTATTGTGATTGAAGCAAAGTTCATAATAAATAAATAAGTAAATTGAATGAAATACTGCTTTCAATCCACATTGTTGAATTAAACCATTTGCTGGGTTTGTATAATGCATTGAATCATAAAATAATCAATTTGATTCTGTTCATGTAACATGCTAAAAATCTAAGATTAAAGGTCACCAAAGTTAGCATGTAAAAATTCAGCTGCTGAGTCTTTAATTCACTTACTTAAATGTGCTGTGCAAACCCAAGCATTAAGTCAGAACCCTGATCCACTTAACCCAGAAACACAGTCTGTTGCCATCTTTATATTTTGGGTTATCTCATTCCTGGGCAGTATAGCCAGTGACAAGCTTTTTACAACTTGTGATCCAAAGTACAGTCATGTGAAAAAGAAAGTACACCCTCTTTCAGTTCTATGGTTATACATATCAAGACATAGTAAAAATCATCTGGTCCTTAGCAGTTCTTAAAACTAGGTAAATACAACCCCAGATGAACAGCAACACATGACATATTACACCATGTCATCATTTATTTTACAAAAAGAAAGCCAAAATGGAGAAGGTGTTGCAATGGCCCAGTCAAAGTCCAGACCTCAACCCAATTGAAAGCTGTGGCGGGACTTCAAGAGAACTTTGGATAAACAAATGCCCAAAACCTCAATAAACTGAAGCAATGTTGTAAAGAAGAGTGGGCCAGAATTCCCCCACAATGATGTGAGAGACTGATAAAGTCAAACAGAAAACAGTAACTTCAAGTTATTGCTGCTAAAGGTGGTTCTACAAGCTATTGAATCATAAGGTGTACTTAGTTGTTCACACATGGCTTCTCCATTTTGGCTTTCTTTTTGTAAAATAAATGATGACATGGTGTAATGTGTCATAAGGTATTGGTCATCTGAGGTTGTATTTACCTACTTTTAACAACTAAGGACCAGAAAATTTTAACTATGTCCTAATACATAAAACCATAGAACTCAAAGAGGGTGTACTTTCTTTTTCACATGACTGTAATTGGAAGGTGCCAATTTCTTAAACTACCCCATTTAGTGTATTTTAATTGGCCACAGCTTTACAAGGTGTCAGGCCAGCATTCTCTGCTCCCTTATTTAATGGAATTTGCTCAGAGTTAGATATAGAATCTTATGCATGAAAACTGTGCTTTGTTACTAAGGTACAGCCTGGTCATAGGTGTCCTGGCTAGATATTTGGCTTGGGGATGAGGGAACATGTTTGTATGACATGACATTAGGAAATATGCTTTATTGACTCTTTGGCATGCAGTGGGTGAATTTCATAGAATGGTAGACAAGGCTAAAGTGGAATTAAGTAGCTTGTGCACAGGAATTCATCATCTTCCTATGTTGTATAAACCTGATTACTACATTAAGCCATTATATAATTTATTTGATTGTAACATGTAACATGTGGAACAAGACAGCAGTTTAATTTGTTAACCTGCAGCTAGGTGTTAAGTGTGCTGTGCTCCTCAGTACTGTCTGGTGTGAGTTTGAGATTGTGTTTTTGGATGAGTTTTTAATTTGGTACATTGTACTGTACCTAAGCACATACTCTGTTTTTTTCTTTACAGCCATGCACACTCCAGCACCCACTGAACTCTTCATCTCAGGGGCCCTCCCAGGCTCTGGCACTTTCCCTTCCTCATCAGCACTCTCTGCTTACCAGCATCCAGCCTCTTTCAGCGGGCGCAGCTTCCCAGTCACTTCATCCCTTACCCTCCAGGATGCTACGTTCAGCCCAACGTCCAATGGCCTGCTATCCCCCCATGATCCTCTGCTTCACATCAAATCGTCTCAGCCCAGTGTTCCTTCATCCCTCAGCTTTGACCGGCTGGGCAGTACGGTATTGGGTACGGGCTTACCCACTCAGAGCTCAGCATATCGTAGTGCTCAAGAATCGGCTTCTCGTCACCTCCCCTCCCAGTTCAACCTTTTGTCATCCTCACTGGGTCCATCTGACCAGACAACCCAACTTTACAACACCTCAGTCTTCTCCAGTTCTTCTGCCTCCTCCATTGAGCGGGCCATCCCCCGGCAAGATAGTGTGATCAAACATTACCAGAGACCTTCTAGTGCCCAGCCACAGCTGTCTGCTGCCCATTCTCTCCAGCATTATCTGAGCTGCGGGGGCAGTTACCAGCAGATGCCCCACCGCTCGAGCCTTTCATGTAGTCCCTTGGGTGAGCAGTCTCCTGCCAGTAGTGAAGGCTCTCAGCAGCAGAAGACCCCCCAGGCCACACGACAAGAGCCCTCTCAAAGCTACCATCCCATTATTCAATCCTCCAGCTATTCTGGTACCACCTCTTCAAAATCCAAGAGTTACTCTGCCTCCCGCCAACCACCCCGTTCTACAGCCACGCCCAAGTGCCAAAGCAACTACAGTTCATCCACACCCAAGCCCAGCTCTGTCATTGCAAGCCAGTCACAGGCCTATTCACCTGGTCAGACTCAGAGTCTCCTTTCCATGAGCCAAACACAGAGTTACTCTGTCAGCCAGCCACAAAATCTCTCTTCAGTTAGTCAGGCCTCACAGGGATTCAGCAGCAACCAGGCCCAGGACCTCACAAGTGTTAGTAAAACTCAGAGTTATTCGACCAATGGGCAAGCGCAGCAGGGCCAAGCTGGGCAGGGAGGACAAGGACTGCAGACTTGTCAAAATCAAACTTACTCTCCTGAGCAGCTGCAAGGCTTGTCATCTGTTGGGTACAGTGTTCAGGCTGAGCCCCATGTTTCTGTCAGCCAGACACCAACCTATGTACCGGCTCATTCTCAAAGGATGCCCACAGCTAGCCCATCATTGAGTTACAGCACTGGCCATTCTCCAGCTATGCCAGGGCACAGCCAGTCTATTGGTTACTCCCATGGGCAGAACCTTCCAGATTCAAGTCCTTCCCAGATCATCCGGCCTCTCCAGTCACCTACCACTAACAGGCCCCAGAGTGTGGCATCACCTGGCCAGTCCCAGAAGTATCTCACTTCTGTATTGTCCCCTTCATTCATGCAGACGGCTCACACACAAAGCTACCAGGGTTCCCAGGGTGGGTTAGAGAGAGGATCATCTTACAGTAAAGCCAAGGCCGACTCGGACCTTCTGTCATCTGAGCAGACTGAAGATGAAGAGTTTTTAATCCAGCACTTGCTGCAGTCTCAGAGCCCACCAAGGGTGCCGACAGAAGGCATGGTAGAGTGTGAGGAGAGGGCAGGGAAAGGGATGGGCTATGAGTTGAGTAAGACTGAAGAGCGTTATCACTTGCAGAGTGTAATTCGGACGAACTCTAATCTGGACAACCAAAGCCTGGAGATGTCCTTGCAAAACTTAAAGGACAAAAAGAAAGGAGGGAGGCCCAAAGAGTACCCACACACATGCTCAACTCCAGAGTCTTTGGCCACATCTGTGGTCCATTACAGCCATCAAGCTGGGTCATTAGGCTCTTATGGACAAGACATAAAGAAGTCGGTGGAGCAGCACCTCCAGGGTGGCCACATGGATTCTGGCAGTAAGGAAATATCTCAGGCCCATTCTTATTTGCAGAAGACTCCTGAGCATGCCTCCCAGCCACATCCCATGGAGTCTCATGGATTGATGGCTGGCCAGCAGGGTGCTACCCTGATGTTGGACTCCCCTCCTGATTTGCCATCTCTTTCCCTTTCACAGCAGCAGCAGCAACAGCAACAGCAGCAGTCCCAGCTGCTCCAGTCGGTGCTCACTCACACCCAAACCCAGATGCAGTCTCGTGGGAAGGTTCACACCCCACTGGATGTCCATCTTATGGAGCCTCAGCGCATGCATCAGGCTGAAGCACCCTCGCCACAGCTTCAGATGCAAGCATTGGAAGCCCACCTCCACCAAGCCCATGTTCATTCTCAGAGCATGGAAGCACAGCTTCTTGAGCCACAGCAGTCCCCTCAGCTCCAAGGCCCGCTGCAGCCAGAAAGGATGCAGTCTGAGGGCATTGAAATGATGCCCCGAGGCAACCTTTCCCAGTCCCAAGAGATCCAGGACTTCTTAGAGCCTGAGCTGAGTTTGGAATCCCACCTGGGACAAAGTGGGACAGTGCAGAGTCAACAGCATCTCCTTCCTGATTCCAGTTTGGACCCTGACTCTCAGCAAGTTCCTGAAGGCAAACTTGAGGGCAAGGACCAGTTTGAGAGCCCCAGCCCTCAAGGAGCCAAGCAGCGATTTGTTCCCCTTACCTCCATATGCTTCCCAGACTCTTTGTTACAAGATGAAGACCGTAGCTTCTTCCCTGGCATGGAGGACATGTTTGGCCCCCCTCCCTGTGCCGGGGATGAGTTCCCTAAGCCAGACGATGGCACACAGGGTATGGAGAGGGGTGAAGGAATGAAAGGAGGCGGCTATGATATAATGCCTGGTGGACAAGGCTACCAGAGTTACTGCCAATCAGAAAGTGGGGATGGACAGCGTTTAGGGTTAGATACAGTGTCAGTGAAACACGAGTTGCCTTCGACAGTCAACACAGAACAACTGGGACTGATTCAGCAAACTGGGACAGCTCCGGTTTCAGAATCCAAGTCAGGCCTGACCTCACCGATCTTCTGCTCTTCCAAGCCCAAGAAGCTGCTGAAGACTTCCTCCTTCCATTTGCTGAAAAAACGGGAACCACCTTTCCAACCTCCCCAAAAAAACTATGCCCAGGAGTATGAATTTGAAGATGATGAGGACAAGGAGGATGTTCCAGCTGACATCCGCCTTAATAGCCGCCGCCTGCCTGATCTGCTACCTGACCTCATTTCCAGCTGCCGGACAAACCGAACCAGCCTTAGCCCCATGGGCGACATAGACTTTTGCCCACCAAACAGCAGCCTCATGGAGGGGCCCAAGCGGCGAGGCCGCAAGCCCACCAAGCCTAAGCGGGAGGGCCCACCGCGCCCTCGTGGGAGACCCCGCATCCGCCCCCTGACTGAACTGCCCCATGGTGTGGCTCATGATGGCACCAAGAAGCCCCGTGGCCGGGGAAGAGGGAGGGCCAAGAAAGCCAGGGAGGAGGGGGTTGAGCCAGGTGCAGGCTTGGAATCCCTCAAACCACTCAAGGTAAGCTGGGGACGCAAATAGGTGAGATGTGCTTGTCAGGTAGCAATGCCTAGGTGTAGGAAAGGAAAGTTTGGAAGGAGCATAGGGTAGAATGAATAGAAATAGAAGACTGGCTTAGCAAAGTGATTTAAATGGAGAGTGCAATGTAGGGGGAACAGAGGAAGCTCTCTTAGAGCAGATGACATGTATCCATCTAAACCACTGTTGCACTCTGAACAACTCTATTTATAGTCTCTTCCATTACTTGTACCTGAGCCTTTGTCCCTAGAGATAATAGGGATTTAATCTAAGCTTTTGTTTGTAAAGGTTGTGCTCTACTGCTGAACTATAGCCTCTACTTCAGGGGTGAAGTCTCTATAGAACCGGTAGCTCTGAAGAGGAGCAGACACTGAACCGGTTCTGTGTTTGCTGCTGTTTGGCCCACCCGCCCGCCTGGGCTCTTACCTGTCCTTTATTTCCTGCTTTTTCAACCTCAGCTGCTTTTCACAGCACAGCTGAGGTTGAAAAAGCAGGAAGAAAAGGCTTTTCAAATGCTGCGCACCTGCGCGCAGTGCTTTTCAGCTGTCTGGATGGCACAGCTTAAGGTTTTTGTGCATGCGCGCGCAAAACATAGTCACCGAACCCTAACCGGTTGAATCCCACCCCTGCTCTACTTGCAAACAAGAGTAGATATTTTAGGCTTCTAAGGTTATCTGTAGTGATGTACCAGTGAAGTTGGAGATGGTGGTATGCTACCGGTTGCTGAGAGGAGGGAAAAAAGCCTCTGACAATCAGCTGAGAGGATAAAAGACCAAAAAGTGCATGGGAGGATGGGAGGGTCGCTTTTCGTTTCTTCATCCTCTCGGCTGATTGGCTTGTTAGGGGTGTGTGCGTTAGGGACGTGCGCACACGATCACCCACTGAACCGGTAGTAGGATCCCATTACTGCTTGGAGGGTAATTTGTACATGACCATAGTGGTATAATAATGGCTCATTATTATTTGTTTCCCCAGGAACTGAATTAGTACAGATAGTTTTCATAGAGCTATTATACAGATGCTTGTACAGGTAGTCCTCACTTAACAGCCAGTTGCTTAGTGACCATTCAATGTTGCAATGGTTCTTCCCCCCAAAAGCTACTTATGACCTAGTTCTGAAGTTCTGATGGCTACAAACACACTGCAGTCACGTGACCACAATTTACAATGTTGTTTGCCAGTTTCCGGCCTTTTCAGCTGGTTTCCAACAAATGATACCATAGGAATACATGAATTCATTTAATGACCATCACAAAAAAAAGTCATAAAATTGGGTCTGGTCACGTAGATGCCTTGACTTACAATGATCATGACTTATGATGGAAATTCTGGACTCCATTACCTTTGTAATTTGAGGAGTACCTGTATTTCTAATACCAGTGGCACAGAAGCTGGCTTTTGAATAAGGGAGGCAACAGTCAGCATTCAGGTTCAGTGCTTAAGTTGAGAGTATATCCAGGGTTATAGTCATTTTGCTGATACAGGTTTGTGCTGCTAAAAATTCATTTTTTTGTTCAATAGTTGGGCTCATTTATTTCCAACATGCTGTTTATTGTTGCAAAGATAAGTTGGCAGGAGTTAAGGATACTGGCATCATGAACAAGACTGCCACAATCTCACAAGAATCAGGGCTTTTTAATGGGGGCTAAGCATAAGTTTTGCTAACTTCTGCTCTGTTCTGAGACAGGTTTGGGGGACCCAACAGCTTTGGCTAATTTTGGGAGCAGCAATGTTTCAGAGAGTACCAGGCAGAGCGATAGATCATTGCCATGGAGTAACACTGTATTGAGTGCATTAAGCATAGTTATAATGGTAATCTTAGAACACCTACTAGAGCAGGGGTGTCAAACTCGCGGCCTGTGGGCTGGATGCATCACACGCAGGCCACGCCCATGCCTGGTTTACCAAAGGGAGGAAAAGTCACGATACATCATGTGATGACGCCATGACAACGTGAGTTTGACACCCCTGCACTAGAGGTTTGCTGTGATTCAATGGGTTGGGCAGACAAGATAGATGCCAGCAGTAGATTGTGTGTGTGAGGGTGGAATAGGACAACTTGGTGTGGCCAACTGGCTGCAGGACAATTTAACAATTCAATTTAAGTATTTAAAATAATTTTAAAAATAATTTTAATTTTTGTCAGTCACACTTCATTTTGTCCCTCCTTTTGCATCCATTCTTTAAAGAGTCTATTCCACCATTTCTCTGATATAAGTGTAACTCTTGTTCTGCAGTGAGTTGTCCCGTGGCGAGTGGCCACGCCAAGTTGTCTTAGACCTTTAACAGATTAACAGAGTTGAGGTTGGAAGGGACCTTGTAGGTCATATAGTCCAACCCTCCACCCAAGTAAGAGACCCTACACCGGTGGGCTAGGATTTTATGTGTTCACACCCAGCTGGGCTATGTCATGCCCCTGTCGAAGTCTGAATCTGAAGAGGAAGACGAACAGCTGACGGAGTGGGAGTGTGGCTCCATTGGCTGTGGAGGAAACTGGGGAAGGGCAAAGTCTGGCTGGGCAGAGTAGGGGGAGGTAGAACAAGGGAGAGTGAGTTCAGAGGAATACCCAGGCCCACCCCCTCTTCATCCTAGGGTACGCAGGAACGGAGCAGAGAGCAACATGGGTTGCGTGGCTTACGGGAGGAGGAAAGGGCCCTGATTCCCTTCATAAGCTACAGCTGGGAAGGAAGTTTAAAAGAGGTGCGTGCTGAGTGTGGCGTCTGCTGGGAGCAAAAGTGAGTTTATCTTGTGTTGACTTTGGTTATCTGTGTTCCTGGCATCTTCCCAGCTGTGTTGAGTTATTGCCGTGCCTTCACATCTGGAATTCTTACTCCTGCCCTGCCAAACTAATTACCTCATTTTGCCTTGATTGGACTTATAGTTACAATTTTTGTTGACCACGGTTTGGATTTGATTCTCTGCAGCCAAAGGCTGTTCCTGGGAAAGTTTTTCTCCAGCCAGAAGGTAACCAGGACATTAGGGGCAAAGTTGGAGCTAATAAAGGGACTCCTACTGATTATCTGACTATGTTGCCTTTGTGCCACACCCTGGGTCATCATAGGCTATTTGAATTTTGCCACAATTTTTTGGGTTGTGCCTTTTCTTCCTGCCATCATATTGCTGTCACTCTTTGAGAGAGATGTGATGAAAATTTGCTAACAGTATGCAAATTTGGAGATAGCTAAGGTAAACAAATTAGTAGCTTATTTTGATTGCTGAATGTCTGAGTTCCCTAGCTGCATTTTAACGCAAAAAAGAATTGTATGTGAGGTCCCTTTCACTTGTTTGTAAAATTATAATTGTAATGGGGTTCATGTTTTATTTATTAAAACATTTATCCCTTGCTTTTCCATGAACCACTCATAAAGCAGCTTGCAATGTTGGAAATAAGCAAAACCAACCACAGTATCTAATAAACAACTAATAGGAGAGGCAAGTCAGGTTTGGGGCCACTTACTTCAAAGAGGGTATTGAAAAGGACATTCTATGCTCTAAATGCTATAGCAGAAAAGGCCCTGTCTCATGTATCCATCTGTAATAGTTCAGAAACAGCAGGGAGAGACAGTGGCTTGATTGTTGAACTTCGGGTTGTGCACCAGTTGCAGCCTTTCCTGGATCAGGAGTCCCTGTGCTCAGTCATTCGTCTCACAGTTGGACTATTGTAATGTGCTCTAAATGGGGCCACCCTTGAAGAGCATTCAGAAGCTACAGCTGGTGCAGAGTGCGGCGGCGCAGGCAGTTCTTAGGTCCCAAAGGATGGTCCAGGTAAGACCACTGCTCCTCAAGCTGCATTGGCTGCCAGTCTGCTTGCAGGTGCAATTCAAGGTGTTGGTAATCACCTTTAAAGTCCTTCATGGCATGGGTCCAGGTTACTTGAGGGACTGTCTAATCCCACTGGGATTGTCCTGTTCCACCTGTGCAGGCAGAAGAGGCATGCTGTGGGCCCTGTTGGCTCAATTATTCCGGCTAGCAGGGTCCAGGATAAAGGCATTCTCTGCCATTGCACTTGCCCTCTGGAACAACTTGCCTTCCAAAGTGTGGTCGGCCCCAACCCTCCTGACCTTTCTTAAGGGCCTAAAGGCCTGGCTCTGCCAGTTTGCTTGGGGCCCCAATGGGGAAGCATTACAGTTGAGGTGGTTGATCGATTAACAACAGATCCCACCTCACCCCCACTCTGCCTCCACCTGTAATTGGATCATAATGTTTGCATGTATTTGTTTTTAATATATATTATCTTATATAATTGTCAGCCATCCAGAGTTACCTTGTGGTAAGATGGCCAGCCAATAAATTTTGATTGATTATGTGAATAGGTACATACATAATGAAGTAGTGCTAAAGGAGCCTGGTCTCAAAGGGTTATTAGGACTGTTTTTCAAACTTGGCAACTTTTAAGATGTGTGGACTTGAACTCCCAGAATGCACCAGTCAATATGCTGCCTAGGGAATCCTGGGAGTTGAGGTCTACACATCTTAAAGTTGCCAAGTTTAAAAAAACACTAATTTAGGACATGGGTGTTCAAATGTTTTAGACCAGGGCTGTCAAACTCACAGCCCGCAGGCTGGATGCATCATGTGCTGGCCATGCCCGCACCTGGTTTAGCGAAGGAGAAAAAAGTCACAATACATCATGTGACAATGCTGTGACACCGTGAGTGTCAGCCTCAAGATATCTTCTATAATATATATATTCTGCATCCTAACTATTGCATCTTCTCTGTTCCTATGCCAATCTATTTCTTTCGGCTGTCATTAGCAACGGAGGGAGGGGGGAACTTGGAGGGGAAGAAAGCTGGAGGTGTTTTGCATTCTTTTGCTGTGGGTAGCAAGAGGAGGGGGATTCCTGTCTTTAACTTTCCATTTCTTGGCTAGCTTCTAACCCTTTTGCGCAACTGCGAACTTTTATCAAAATATGTCAAGGTCAACGGACATAAGCCTCATCACCACCTGGAGATGGCCACATGATCGTATTCAGAACTTTT